CTAAATTTTCAATTAGTTAGGACTTAGCTAAAAGAGTTTAGTTAGTGTATTAGTTTATAATTCTAATCCTTATAAACTACCCAATGTAGATCATTATTTTTTCAGTTTTTAAGATATTCAAAGACTTATGAAATATCATTATTTTGTGTATCATTATTATGATTATATTTGTAAATAACTTAATAAAGATCTTGATTATAAACTTTTTATTATATTTAGCTTTTAACATATGTTTAATTGCTAATAATTTTAGACGACTGTGCATAAACATCCATTTGATATCCTTTAATATTAGTTTTATAAAAGCTTTAGCTACCTCAAAATAGCATGCAAAAAGATTTAAATTATGACTAAAGTGTTTATTAAAAATTGTAGTAATAAAAATCTTACTATTTAGATTGTTTTTAATAAGCCATAAGAGATTAGTATATCACTTATAACCTGTTTGATGAGATTTTGATGATTTTTTTGATTTTTTATTGTAAACACCTTCACAATAATAAATTATCTATTTTCTTTATTTAGATTCTACTTTATTAGATCTTTTTTTACGAATAAAAAAATCTTATTTATAAGCCTAGAATTTAATATATTTAAAGACAACCTTTCAAGTAAGAAAAGATAATTCAACTTTTAATATCAAAAATAAAATATTTATATTATAAGATAAGTTGTCATTATCTTTATCTTTACTTTCATTATCATCTGGAATATTCTTGATAAAATCATTAAAAAAATTTTCATTATCTGAATTATCACTTGAAAGTGATTCTAAATCACTCATTTTAAGATTATTTAACAATAAAATTTATAAAAAAATGGAAAAAAAGAAGAAAGGTAGAAAGAAAAATAGCATGAGTACAATTGATTAAACAATAGATTTATTTAAAAGTCTAATAAATGATTGTGCACATAATCATATAGATTGCATATCAAAAAAATTATGTATAAGATACATATTACACATCCATGTAAAATTTATATTTAATAATTTACTATATGTGAATAAAAAAATATGTATAGGTGTATTTTATGCAAAATGTGCAAATACTTTCTAAGTAAAAATTAAAAAAAATGTAATTAATTAGTGATTTTTAAAGTAAATAAATGATAATTATTATTAAAAAAAATTAAATATTTTAAATTCATATATTTTACTATCAATTAATCTCAAAAATATAAAAATACTATTATTTAATAAGTCTTAATAAAATGAATCCAATAAACTGAATTTTATTTTTATATAATTATTACATAATCTGTTATTTTTTTAAATAAATTTTATTTCATCTTTTTATAATCATTAGATGTCAAAATATTTTAAGTTTTCTAAAATGTTTTATAAACCAATTTATACTTACAATTTAAGGGATGATTTTTAATATTTACATTATTAAAAATGATAAAAATTTATTTTATATGTATTTTAATAGTTCTTACTAATGAGATAAAACTAGCAATTATAATTATTTTTAAAAGTAAAATATAATGCAAAAAAAGATAAATAATAAAATTTTAAAAGTGAAAAATTTATAAGATCAGATTGTAATTGAAATTGATATTAAAAGTTTGAAATAAAATTTTTATAAAAATAGTTATAAAAAATTATTTAAAGTAGTGTAATTTTTAAAACCTAAAATAAAAGAAGTTTCACATACATACCAATTGAGAAATCAACCTAACTTAATTTATCTTAATATTAACTTTAAAGGTAACAGTTTATTAAAAAAATAATAAAAAACGAAAATACCTTTTTTTCATCATAGTTTCGTATAACATGTCAAATTTTTATTTTGTATTAGTAATTTGGGGATAGTACTTTTCGTTCTATGAAACAATAAACAAGTCCAAACATTTATTCCTTTATAGTGTTAGTGGAAATATAGTAACCCAAAGATTTTAAAAATATGTGGAGTAAACAGATTTTCAAAGATCACGTGCATTGCGGAACAAGAATGTTGTTTTCTAGTCCGAATGTTTTCAAAATATTATTTTTAATAGATAAATTTCCTTATTCGGAAACAAAGTTCCTCCTTTTTTTTTTTTTTTTTTTTTTTTAATCAGTTACCTAAATTTCTATAATTTTTATTTTGTTAACATAGCAATCGTTCATAAACCGATAATTTTGATCCCGAATGAGAAATCTCTTTAATACATTAAAACAATCTCGAATACATAATTTCTCCCTATTATGCAATGAATTTATATCTAATTCTAATTATGTAGAACTGATTAAATAAAGTTTTTTTTTTTTATCGTGCAGGATCCTACGACCCATATGAGAATTCGTAATCAATAGATAAGATAAAAAAAAAAATAAGTGATAAAAGGGAAATGATCGATGGTTACAAAAAAGAGTTGAATTTGTAATTGCCAAGATGCTTTAACCGAAATAAAAAAAAAATACTTATTTTACACATGTATCACATAATTTATTTCCTAAATTTAATTTCAATTTCAATACTTCAATAAATATTGTCTTACAAATTACGTCGTAAGCAAATGGAATTTAGGGCTGAATAAATGTTTTTGGATGGGCGGCGGCGGAGAAAGGCGACAATAAAAAAAGGAAAGTCAGGTGATGGTTACACCACATGAAACGGTGGCCAATTGGAATAATTACTCAACTCACATGCTAACCACACGATTTCCAAAAATGATGGTTAATGTAGATCCGAAACCGAGACTTTCATCGATTTGAAATTCATGCATTGACCAATAAATTTATTGAAAATTCACACGTGGATATTTTTCATTAACCAATTATTAAGTGGAAATATAACACACCAAAAGCAAATCTACCAATAACGACACGTCATTTTGACATTTACTTTTTTTAAATTAAGGGAGAAAAAAAAAAAGAAATAAATATGACAATAGAACGATTTTAATTTTTTCAAATTTTTTTTTTTATCTCACTTTTTAAACTTTATAAGAGAAACATTCATAATAGCAATAGAAAAAAAAAATAATAATAAATAAAAAAAATAAGATGAATAATTGTAAGAATAATAGTAATAATACGATTACAGGGTATAGAAATATTATCCCAGCACCACTTCCGTCACCACATAACTCACCTCAAGTACACCCAAATCCTCAACATGGTTCTTTACCGCCACCTTTTGGAACTCCACCGGTCTCACCGTTCTCCCATCCAATGAACAATGATTATTCAACTCCGCCACTCATTCTTCCGCCCATGATGTCTTCCATTCCAAAACAACAAGGACCCACCACTTCGGTGTTTTCAGTACCAATGACCCCCTCCAACGCAAATAGTGTCATGCAACATCATACTTCCGTAATTCATCCTTATCCACATCAACAACATCGTATTTCTATCGGTGCCACGGCAGCCGGAAATGGGGAAAAACCTCTCAGCACCGCGGATCAACGTGAAATGGCACGTAAAGTATCACATTCGGCGATAGAAAGACGTCGTCGTGAAAAAATTAATGACAAAATCATGCAATTAAAAGATTTGATTCCAAGTTGTGCTGATCAGGATCATTTACATAAATTGAGCATCCTCCAAAGTGCTATTGAATATATTCAATATTTACAAGATTGTGTTGTGGAATCAAGAAAACGCGAAGGAAATAATGGAGAAAACTCGGAAGGACGAACTACCAAAAGATCAAAATTTGATCGTTACGAAATTCCTATTCCCAAAAGTAACGACGCTGCCGATAATTCAAAGAACAAGAATGATTCTAGTAATGTTAACAAAAGTGATAAATCTAAAAATAAGGAGGAAGTAGGTGTCAATAATGAAGGAGCAAATGCTTTATTATTATTATCCATATCACACACAGCCAATTCCGATGATAATAAAAACAATGATGATATATCAGATAAAAGAATACTGGTGACTAGAGATGTTGAAGTACAAACTTCTTCCAACTTGAAAGAAGATGAACATGAACGTGAAGAAAGTACTCCTTCAAGGAGCGCGATGACCGTTCAACAATTATTATGTTAAGCTTATTATTTTAAAATACTTTTTTATTTTTTATTTTTATTCTTATGTTTATATTTGTTAATTCGAAACTAAAAAATTTTTTTTAGTTTAGTATGTATGTGGTACAATTACTTTTTTCTATAAATTGCGATAAATATGTATAGGGTGTGGAATCTTTTTTTTTTTTTTTCTAAGAAATAATAAAGTTCAATTCGATTTTCCGTGCAAAAGTGTAAATATTTTCTGCGCCTGCAAAATGAAAATTTGCTGCGGTGATTAAAAAACCCATCGTTAAATTCCCTTTGTGCCTAAGATTTTATCTTTGACGAGGAATTTTACAAAGAATAATGTATGTTTTTTTCCTTTATTCTCTCATTCACATGTAAACGTTGTTTGATGATACAACAAACAATGTGTATATTCAAGTATTGTTATCAATCATTTAGGGACTAAAAAAAATAAATAACGTTTAGATAAGGACACGTGATTATGCAAATTATTGAATAAAAAAATCAATGTTAGAGAAAGGCAAGCATTTTCAACGATTCGTTAACAAATTTTGTAATTATAAACATGAAAATATGTTTTTCTATGTTTTGGACACGAAAGGCTTTACTAGATCAATGAAAGAATCGATAAACGCATTTTAATTTTGAACTTTAGCTATTTAACAACTGAGGACCAAAATAGAAATACAGCCATTCCAATGGCGTTATAGTACTTTATTAAATTTAATTAATAAATATAGTATTTTTTTTGGTAACGTTAATTTGTATTTATAATGATTTTATTCTTAGCAGTTTTAAAATAAAAATCGAAATCAGTTAGATAAAAATAGTTTTTTAAAGTGATTATTGTGGTAAAAAAAAACTGATATCGATTTCAAAGTTTTTGACAAAAAAACATTTCTTTGTTCTCGGTACATTTTTTATTTAATTTTATTGGCTGGCAAATGGTAATCACCACGTGAAATTAAACCAATAAATGTGGTAAAAAATTTTTTTTTTTTTTTTTAAAAATATTTTAATTACGAAAAATGACAACTGTCGAAGATAAAAACTTTGCAATTGAAGAGTATAAGAAAGCTGAGCAAAATTTGAAGCAATTCAAGGAAGGGAAAGAACAGGAGATGTTATACGAGTTGAAGAATAAGTTGAGGAACGAAGAACAGAAGAATGATTGGGAAAAGGAAAGGGGCAGGTTAGAAAAAGAAAAAGAGATGTTATTAAAGAGTAAAGAAATCCACGTTATTGAAGCGTTAAGAGAATGTAAAGAAGGAGGTACAGAACAAATTGCATAAAAAATTATTTTTCATTTTGTTTATTATTTATTTGGTATATTGTTTGCAATATTGACTAATTTTTGTTTCTTTCCTTCAATACTTCGACTTTTTATTATTTATTTACATCTACAGAAAGTAATTATAAACGTAAAGCCAATACTGAGGATACAGAAGTTTACATAAAGGGTCTCGTGAAGAAAATAAGACTATCAGATTCTTTGCAAACCCGAAGAAATGGAAAGAAATACAAACTGAAGCAGAAGCTTCTGGAAACCCTGTTACTCACCGACATTTCCATCTTTGGAACCTTTTTTGAAGATTGTGAAAATATAGAGGCAAAAAATGTTGATTATGCCTTTATACATTTATTAATACCTAGTTATTTGGCCAAAATTCGGCTATTATGCCATTTTGGCCATGGTATTATACCGCCGCACATTTTGGATATGCAGAAGCCCAACATCGAATGGGCCTCTTCTGCTATTTTGACAAAGACGAAGAAAGCGCGTTCCAATAGTATTTGCTTTTAGTAGGATGCAATATACTGTATGTAGTACAATGTTGTTATTGAGAGAAAATGATATGGTGAATTGGCCTCGGCCAAATTACCAAAAAATTTCTTGACCGTGGCCAAATGCCATCACTGTATTAAGCCATCGTTTCTTACATTATCACAAACTATGTGGGAACAAATTTGCCGAAGAGAACCACCACCGAGCTTGCCTTCATTAGTAAATGATTTAGCTCTCGAATATTCTTCTGTAATTATATCTTTCTACTCTCAGACTTGGAGTAGTTTCTAGATATGAAATTAAACCCTTTCTCTTTTAATTCTAGTTGTCAAATTCTTTTACACAATAAAAGATATTCAAGATATATGGTGTAATAATTTTTCTAAGGCTACAGGACTGACGGATCGATGGGGTGGTAGATATATAATTAAATCAAATATATTTATAGTCCTTATAATTCAGATTTTTTTTTACTATATGTGTTTTTAATTACCGATTTCGGAATAATGTTAGGAAAATTATACAGGGTATCCGGATTTGTGTTTAAATTATTTATTGGCGGTATTATACATTTGAAATATAAATTTCATATGGGAGGTTTGCTAGGAAAATGGGACTCTAAGACCTTTTCACCAGCATTGAAATAGCATGATGGAAGTTTGTTTTAATTGGTTTAATATTTGTGATCTACATAAAATGTTACACCAAATCAAACCAATAA